GAAAAGGGCAGTCTTAATACAACTGGATGTCCTATTTGGTATTTTAAAATTAAATATTATAAAAAATTATAATTTAATTTTATTTAAATTATTATATTAATATTTATTAATATCGGAGAAAAGAGCTGTCTTAAGGCACCTAGAAGTCCTTTTTGATATTTCTAAATAAAAATTTATTTATATAAATTATTTTTTCTCATAATTATAATTTTGAAATAATAGGATTATAAATATATTTTGAATTTTTAAATTTCTAATAATAGAGACAATTTATAATTGAAAAGTACCAATTTTGGGCGTTGTAGGGGTGCTAATCATTCTCTAAACGTAATCGACCACGAATCCCTTTTTATTATTAAAAAGTAAGAATTTTTGGTTATAAACGCAGATCAGTTCATCTTTTAACTGATGTTTTCTTAAAAACTCTGTTAAAAGATAATTTTTTAGGTATTCGACCTACCTGACCCAAAAGGCCGATGGCGACTCCCAAATTATTTTCAAAACCATTTATTTACATCAATTTTCCCGCCAAGTAATATTTCGTGCCCGGACGAAAACCGGTTACGACACTAATTATTCTGAAAAGAAAATTTGATAAGATAGATATTATTTATTTTATGATTTTGAATTCTATGTTACATGTTAATAGTTTTGAAATTGCAGTAGGTGGTCCGGTTAGAAAGATTTCAAGTTTTTATCAGAAAACAATATTGCAACAGCCCATACTAAATGCCCTTTAAATAAAGAAAAAAATCTCTGTTATTTTATTATATTTTTTTTATTTTCTTATTGGTTTTGCCTTTCTCCTATGACATGTGTAGATGGTCTTAAGCTTCTAAGGTATGACCAGAAAAATGGTATAATGGTCAACGTTTATTTTTTAATTCTAATTTTAACATTTTTATGAGATGATTCTTCTACGCTCGAAGAGCAGCGATGAGAACCACTAACGATGAGCACTATTAATTTAATTTATAAAAAATTAAATTATAAAGTACTCAGCGTATAATTATAAATTAGTTAAAATTTTAAAGATAAATTATTTAAAATAAAGGGTAAATTGTATCATTAACCACTTAACTATTGCCTCTTTTCATTTTTACCAATATTTTTGAAATTTTGTCAACCAAGTCACTCAACTATTTAAATATATTCAATTAAGTCACTTGTCGTTAATATTTAATGCAGAAGCTGATGTGGCAGTTGAAATATTTGGTATAATTACACATTTGGTTATTGTTACTTATATATTATATCAATTTGGTCTTAATTTTAATAAATTAAAATAAACTTAACTGTCAAATTAAAGGGTGTCATGTATAATGACCCAAAATTCAACTTTTTATTTTAATTTTAAAAGTTCCGACATATTATATATTTATAACAAAAAAAAATTATAACAAAACATTTTTCTAAAAAATTGAATAACTCAAGCAATAATTTATGATATTAAATTAAAAGCAAACTAAAGTTATTGCCCTTTTGATACAAGTCAATCTCTTAGTGCAAAATTTTACATGCCAAGTCCACCGAGAATCTTATTAGTAAAAACTTTTATTAAAGATGAACATAAAATTCTATGGTAGGAGATAAATTTTAAAATTTTAAAAGAAGACTGTGTCAAACGTGAAAGGAATATGTTACATTTTTCTATTAGAAATTTAGTGGATAATTTTTTTTTAGTTTTACATGTTAGACTATATCACCTTTTAATAGTAGAATGTCATTTACAAATAGTAGTATGATAAAAATTTTGTTCAACGAACTTTATATAAATGGGCTAATCAACTATATATTTCTTAAAACCAAAAGAGGTTACGGTACCATTCGCGAGATGTTTTGAGGACTATAAATGGCATTTTTAGTAAAAATTTTGTTTTGTTATAAATATAAAATATGTCATAACTTTTAAAATCTTTTAAAATTAAAATTTTGATGGTTAAGTTTATTTTAATTTATTAAAATTAGGATCAAATTGATAGAATATATAAGTAATAGTGACCGAATGTGTAATCATACCAAATATTTTTATTGCTACATCAGTTTCTTTGTTAAATATTAACAACAAGTGGCTTAATTGAATACATTTAAATAGTTGAGTGAACTGATTAATAAAATTTCAAAAATATTGATCAAAATGAAAATTAACAATAGTTAGTTGGTCACCAGTATAGTTTATCCTTTATTTTAATTAATGTATCTTTAAATTTTTAACTAATTTATAATTATATGTTGAGTCTTTTAAAATTTAAAATTTTATAAATTAAATTATTATGTTTGTCGTTAATGGTACTCAACGCTACTCGTCGAATACCGTAGAATTTTCTATTTTTATGTTACTTCATAAAACTTGACCCTTAGTTACAGCTCAAAAAGATATTTTTTTTTGGGAATAAAATTTTAAGATTTAAATCGTTAAGTAAAAACTTGAAGGGTAAAATAAAAAAATGCAAACATTGAGAGCCTTTTTTTTTACTATTAAGCCAAAAGGCACACATTGACTGAAATAATAGTACCATAAGAACCGGACAAAGCATACAGAAAAGAGGAAAAGGGGGGGGGGGGATCTTAAACGCGACCGAACTCGTTAGTGTAGAGTCAAAACAAAGTGCCTAATAAATCTGTCAAGAAGACGAGCGGAAAGTGACCTTAAAACGCCTTTTTTTAATCTCTTTAACAATTTGACCTCAAAAACTCATAATCGAATCCGCCATATTTGGTTCTCTAAGGTCTTACCGTTCTCTTTCCTTTCGTTTTGACTTTAGACAATTTCCCACTACTCCAAAATCAAAAGCAATCAAACAACAGCCTCGTCTTGTTCCTGTTATTTCCCTTATAAGTTGGTTTCGCCATCTTGTTTCTTACATTTGCATGTCCGCTTTATGGTAATCTCCTCCTCCTTGCTGGTCTTCTTTTTTCGGTTGCATTTTTAGTTCTGGGAGAAAACAACGAGGGTGCCGGAACTACCCCCGATAAAGGTTGACTTTTTGGTATTTCTGCAAGTATTTTTTTTTTGGACTGATCTGTTATGGTCATCTGAAATTGAGTTTTTGAATCTGGGTTTTTACTCTTCAACTTGTAAAAATCAAATCTGTAAGTTTCTTTTGCACAATATAATTATGCATGCGGAGTTGATTTTAGGTGATTTTTATTTCTATGAAGCTTTCTTATTTGACTTGCTATGTAGGGAATTTTCTGTAATTTTGATGGGTGTTAGGGTTTTCTTGCATTAACCAGAATACTTTCGTTTGATGGGTTCAAATTTCACTCAGATGTGCTACTCAAATCAAAAGAATTTTAACCATGATTATTACATACTCTGGTTTGTATCCCTTTTTGAATAGAATACTGCTATGTTATAGATAAAAGCTTTTAAGCCTCTCTTTTGGTTTCATTTAGGGATTCCATGAATGCTTTCTCCAGTTATGCATGCTAAAGTTAATGCAACTAGTCGACAACACATTCCTTAGAGGCATACGCCACCGGTGTTCTTAGACTTATGTAGTGGAGCAATTATGAATGATTCCCTTTTACGTGGTTCTCTGTAGATTAGAGGCCTGGAGCTATGTCCATAGTAGCCATTGAGAGCATGGCATCGTTGAGTACCGACGTTTTCTACGACATATTGAGGTGCCTTGATGGTCCAACTTTGGCTGCCGCAGCATGATCGTGTGCAACTTTTTGTACAATCTCTAGAGAGGAGAGACTATGAGAGAATATTTGTTCTTCTATGTGGCGTTCAACCTACAGAGAACATGTTAAAAGTTTGATTTCGTCGATTGGTGGGTTTAGAAAATTATATGCTGATTGTTTTCCGCTTATTGTTAATAAGGAAGTTACAGAGTACCAGTGGAGTGGCCATAGTTCCTCCTCTTTAGAGTACCCGAAGAATGGACTGAAGATGAATATTACGGCGACACCGACGGACTCGAAAGTATTACGCCGTTAGATTTTGTTTCAATTGTGGATATCAGGTATAAAGATAAAACAATCTGCTCAGAAGTGCTGTGGGTTATTCCTAATGCAAATGGATCCAATAGTTGGTTTCACAATTGCCCGTTTCGGATCGATCTTCTTAACTATGCAGCTAGAGTTGACGATAGTGAAAGCGAAGTAACCCTTTCGGTTTCTGATGGTCTGTCACCGATTACCTCCATGGAAAAGGAAAGGAAAGACGGAAAGCTTTGGCAGGAACTCCAAGACAGCCTCTGCCTTAGTTGGATCATTGTAAACCGGAAAGTTAAGCAAGCCGCTAATCTTGTGAGCTGGAGCCCTCTCGGCGGACAGAGACATTGGCCGACAGACAAGGATTTCGTGATAAGGTTAGGGTCTATTCTTCCTGCCAAAGGCATCCTTCCATGTCAAGTAGTCGAGTGCATTCTTATAATGAAGTTAAGTCGTACACACTGAAGGCGACGGGGCGGAAACGACTCATCTCAAATTGACGGAGCTAAGCATGCAGTTGGAAGACATGGAAGGTGCACATGTTAACGGAAAGAACAGTTTGCTTATTCTCAAGGAAGCTCTAAGCTGCCGTCGAAGCAAAAACTGCAGCGAAGTTCTGGAATCGTGTCATCTGTACTCAAAAGTGAAGAGAAAGTTGAAAGAGGAAAAGATGAGGAACGAAAGCAGGTTAGATGGACTGTGTATCTTGAGCGGCATTGCTGCCTTCGTGACGTTTTGGTATTACATATTGTGAATGCAGATGATCTGCTTTAATTGAACAACCTTTTCCAAAGGATGTTCTAACAATATTTGTTGCCTTTTGATGTAAAGCTTCAATTTTTGGTTCAAGTAATAAAAAAGGAGCAAAGTTATGATCTTTATCCTTATTTTTTTGGGGTATATAATTGTGAAATTTATATAAATATAGATAATTTACCTGCAGACTTCTCTGCTTTTTTTCTCGATATACAAATTCCTATACTAAACTCTGCCTTTTTTTTAGTTCCCCCCCCCCCTTTAAATTTTAATGATCAATTTCAAAGTTTTAACTGAACATGGAAGAGATTCATTTTTGTCATGATTTGGTTGAGTGCTGATAATGAGGTATTGATATTGATAGTTGGTTAGACAGGAGTACAAATTGTTGAGATATGCTTGGCAACTCCTCCCCTCAATGGAGGTTTGATCGATCTGCAGCAACTCTGCAAATTGCTTCATCCGAAACGGAAACATGATCATGAATCTGTTTCCGAGGATGACCGTTTGTGCGCTATAATTTCTGCTGGAAACAAAATGCTCGCTTCATCGCTTCCATTTGAGACGATGAGAGATCGGAATGAAATTCTGGACCTGGCACAGGCTACCGCTTCTCTAGTTTTTGTATTTTCTGACAAGTACCAAATGCGAACCTTTTAAATGATTTCAGTAGTGATTAAAGGGAGTATTTTTCTTTTTTTGAGATCTTAAGTTCGAATAATTACATTTTTAGGATTTGTGTAAGTTATCAATAATTAAGAAAACTTACTCTTATTAATATATTGTAAGTACAAGATAGTATTTATTAAAAAAACAACATCAATCTTTCGACATTGATCGCTCACACCCTTTGGCATCAATGGTGTTCGAACCCTGGTCCTAAAAAATAACAATAATTCATTTACAACGGATATCACTTAGGGGTTGTTTGTTTTCCTCTTAATAGAATCATTCAGCGCTTAATGTTGAACCGTTCAACATTCAACGCGTTTGTTTCGCACCTCTGAATGATTCAGTGTTGATTGATTCAGCAAAACAGTGCTGAATAATTCAGCACAGAAGTACATTATGAATGATTCAGAGCCAGTAAACAAACAACATGTCACATTCAGAGTTAATTTATCCAGAACCTCTAAATCATTCAGCATTTAAATCATTCAACACTTAATCATTTTGAAGTAAACAAATAACTCCTTAATTTATTAGTAACATATGGATTTAAGGGCATTAATTAATGATCATACGGAAAAACATATTGTCCTAAATATTTTATTTTCATTTTCCCAAAAATACGTTGAATGCAGTTGAGCTAATTGTACTTTTTAAATATTTGATCTACCGTCATTGGCAAGATAATGTTATTGTCAGAGTGTAGTAGGATTAATTTTCTTCTTTTTCCACGTTCTATATCATGTAAAGGCCACAGTTGACACACGAGTCCTCAACTGCACGAATTGCCCAAAGATGTCAAGCCCAACTGTTGTTATCCATTCTCTCCTAGTTTCTCTCCACTTCACCCACCTCTTCTCTTTCTCTCTCTCTGTTTCTCACTGTGTTTTTTTTTTGGCTCAATCTCGTTGACATGATAATATGACATCAACCAAAATGGATTGGTTTTATTAAGTTATCCATGTGACCTTTTGTTAATCGGTCAATGGTGGACGTGATCAAATAGAAAGGCTTAATTGACAAATTATTTTTCTCAAATTGATACTTATATTATCTGAACTATTCCTTCGTTAGCCAAATCACTTAAAAAATTAAACTATGAAAAGGTGAAACCTTATATTTTTAATTAAAAAATTAAACTAATAAATATTAAATTATATTATTAATTAAATTTGTCGATAAAATTGTATACTTTCAACTATTTGACAATGAATACTCTTAAAGTCATGCCCGAACTCATAACATCTAGAGACAACAACTATCCTTTTAACCATTGAGGTCACTTAATTCATACTTTTTTTATTAGTCTAGGATAAGTACAAGACAATATATATTCAAAGATAACTCTCAACCATTTGACATTGAACACTCACACCTTTAGTATTATTGGTGCTCAAACGCGAGACCTTAAGGAATAACAACAATTTCTTTACCACTAGAGTCGCTTGATTTGTGTCTTAATTCATACTTTTTGAATCAACTTATATGATAAATAAATAAATAAAGGTTAACTATACGGGTGATCACTTATGTTTGTGTTTTGTCCACTTTTGGTCAATGATTTCAAAATACATAAGATATGATCACATTCGTTCTTATTTTATTAAGATGTGATCACTACGAGTTAATTGTCGTTAAATGTTTTGGTATGCTCATACATTTGGTCCTTGTTATTTATATATTCTCTCAATGCAGTTATACTTTTAATAAATTAAAATAAATTTAATCATCCAGTCGAATGATGCTACTGTCATTGTTACCAAGTGTCGTGTCGTGTGTCACCATTCAGTTTGAAGAATAACTTTATTTTAACTTATTTTATTTTAGTTTAGTTTAACAAAGCAAAGCAAATTGGTGGAAAATAAATATATTAATTATTTTAATTTATTAAAAGTAAGATTAAATTGAGAGAATATATAAATAATGGAGACCAAATGTGTGATTATACCAAAATATCACATCACTTAATCTGTTAAGTATTAACGGTAGTTAACCCGTGGTGACCACGTCTTAAACAAATAAAATCAAAAGTGATCATAGCTTAATTAAATAAACACGAAGTTGATAATATCTTATGTATTCTCAAATCAGTGATCAAAAGTAGATAAAAAATAAACATAAGTGATCACTGGTATAATTAGCCCAATAAATAAATAATGAGATATTTGTTGAGATAACGAAGATCTTTTTTCCCCAATTTTTATCAACCTAGTCTTTTTCTAGACCTTTCATATATAGTAGCTTGGATGTTGATCAAGGTGTGCTCTTTCAGAGAGAGAATTTGTCAAGGTGATTCTTGCAATGAAGATTTATTGTGAAATATTGATAGTTATTTGTCAAAGGTTCTTGCATAGCATTGTATCTCACGATAATCGGAGGATAACGATTCCATCATCTCTAATATTCGCCGTTAAGCCATGACTGATGAGAGTTGAGACGCCGACCCCTTTGATGTTTCTGTGGTTAAAAACTTGAAATCGCTCCATATTACATAGGTTAAGAACCTTCCTCTGCCCACCATTCATTTGGCCTTTTTCAGATTTCCTTTCTCGGATTTTCGACGCTTCAATAATGCGTACGTCACCATTTTGCTCTTACATAAAGGGATCACGTCTTAGAAGAATTAATGGCTGCTGCACCAAGCATGTTACTGGTAATGTAAATGGTGCAATACCTTTGAGACGCTTGTATCTAGTTTTGCACTGAGGACATTGTTGACTCCCTTCCCTCCTTTCATACTCATAGCAGGGCCTACAAACAGGAAAACCACACTCGTTGCAGGCCACGAAAAGATCTCCATCGACCGTCAACCCAATTTCATCACCACAAATCTCACAAACTTGACCATCCAAGTTCTTCAGAGGTTTAGGCTGAATGCATCAAAAGCACAATCAAGAATCCATTTATCAACTAAAACAAAACAATGGGCTTTAAGCAAACTGCGTCATACAACTGATGTTATTTCTTTGTTACCTCTTCATGACCATGAATGACAACAAGTTCGTTGCGGTTGTGTGAGCCCGCAACAAGCCCAGCGCTGGCTTCCAATGGAGATGATGAGAGGAGGGAATCAATGAATGAACGAGGAACAAGACAAAGGAGGGGAGGGATGAAATAGAGTTTTGTTGGGAGCAGAACAAGTGTGATGTGTCTTATGGGACACTGTCGTTTGTTGCAGAGTCTACATTGCCTTGAAGTTAAGCTTCCCCGTGGGTTCTCTTTTTCCGACTACCTTTCATTTCCCCTTTAATTCCCTCGTTTCACAAGCTTCAATGACCTCCCATCTGTCAGTTTCCATCATTTTCTTTTCTTCTTTAAATCATTTGTTTTGTCTATTAAATTTCCAAAGCCCTTGTTCAACTTCATCTTTGCCCCATTATTTTTACAAATTCTGTAACTTCCTTCAAAAGCAAATTTAATTGCTAGTTTGATAAGGCTCGTAATCTGACGTAATTAGGACAGGCGGTAAAGCTTCATGTAGTTGGAAAGAGAATTAAAACACAAGTAAAATTGGATAATGAGAGTCCCTAATACGCCAGTAAATGCAATACGATAAAATTAGCAGACATATACCTTCTGTTTGGTGGCAAAAATGGTGATAAAAAAAGAAGGGGAAAAAAACGTGAGAAGCAGGCTTGGGGATGGCACAACTTAGAACCAAAGCAAAAGTTGCAATCGTTAGGTAAAGAACACGTTGAAATCTCTCCATCCTCGGTGTTTAATTTTTGCTAAATAATAAAATAAGTTAACACTATTATTAACATCCAATTGTTTGAGAATATCGATCCTTGATAGCCATTGTCCTTGGGCGTCTCTAATAATACTGCCAGCCGTTGCCATGCCCGTAGATTCTGGTCCAATAGCATCAGCGTTTAGTTTACACCACCCTTGCTGTTGGTGTTTCCATTTGAGCAAACATGAAAGAGTATATTATATTTTTATGAACCAAAATTGACAGACCATATTCATATATATCAATCTAATAAACTTCAAATTTGGAACAAAAACCAAATTTCTAAACTTGATTTCGCTCGAAACGCATCAGCTTTGGCCTTTAGCACTGCTTTTTGGTTGCATTTTGCAAATCCAAAGGGAAGAATTACATGGAAGCACTTTTCTATTTGTCACGTCCAGTTGTTAATGATTGCAGCCATGTTTTATTATGGGTAGATACTAGTTTCAATTGAAACATAAATATTAATACTACGCCTCTAATCTTGTTCTTCATGTATAAAATCAAGCTTGAGAATCATTTTGAACGTGATTTTTATCCCGCTTACAATATCTTGTATATATAGATAGTATATGTAGATATTACTCTTAATTGAAAGATAAGTTACAATTATACGTCTCTGATCTTATAAATTACGAAAAAATTTACCACTATATCACTCTTAAATATGTCAATCAAACCATTTTAATGTTTTCTTCATTTACAAAACAAGCTTTGGAACCATTTTCAACGCGATCTTTAACTTATTTACAATATCTCGTATGTGTCGACATTGGCCTCAAGTTAAAGATAAACTCCAATATTACGCATTTAATCTTAGGGTGTGTTTGGTTCACGAAATGTAAGATTACCAATGGGAATGTAAGATTACCGGGGAATAGGATTACTAGGAATGTTGTATTTTGTGTTTGGTTGACTTAGCAGAAATGTAAGATTATCGTGTTTGGTCAAAGGAATAAAAGATTATTAGAATGTATATTTGACCAAATTGTCCTTATTATATATTTGTTTTTTAACAATTTAGAAAATATTTATATATTTTCTTTAAAAAATTTAAATTCATAAAATTTATATAATTTTTTTTACAAAATTGAAAATATAAAAATGTTTAATGAAATGGTAAAATTTTATTTTAATCCCTGAACTTCATATAAAATTTTAATTATAGATTTTTTTTTGTAAATCTAAAATAGTTTAAGGATAAATTTGTAATTTAACATTCGTAGAATTATTATTATTAAATGACAGAAGAAATATA